AATTACAACCCAATATGCATTCTTTTTATTAAAAAAACATATTGAGTTTAAAAGGTTCTGCATTACAGGAATGACCCGCTTGTTCCTTCAACACATTCCTTCACACTTGGTTGCTTAAAAAGACCCTTGTTCACAGCAACCTATCACAGCTGGTGCATAGCTATATCTTGACCCAGCCCTATGGAGCCTGTAATTGGCAATAAGGTAACCATTGTGAGCCCTCAGGCGAAAATAGGCCAGCCTATTTGTGCAAACATGCATTTTCACAGCCAACATCTCTGATTAAAATGTCAGTAACGTCACTCGGCGAGCCCCACAGACTTTTTAATTTCGCTATGGATGGTTTGGTGCGATGCCACGTTATTTTCCAGACATCTTCTTCGTGCTAATATAGGGGTTGCACGGCCTTTCTCGCACTTGAGTGATTCCAGTGCACTTCTCGTTTGCGAGAGGAGCGATTTGGTGGCCCACAAAAAGAGGCCAGACAGAGGCTGAGGTTCCTGGGTTATGATTGAGGTCAGTTTGGGGCAGTCAAGGAGAGATGCCAAGCCACACAGGGCTTTTAGCAGCTGCTAATGAGAAAGAAGATCCTCTTGTAGAGTGGCAGACACAAAAAGATGCTGTCAGACGGGCTCTAGGGGTCCGACCCTGTGTTAGAGCATTGCCAATATTAGTGTTCTTAATATACGTTTTAAGGTGCAGTCACATTAGCAAAACTGTGTGGGCAAAAAGGGTCTACTGTTTATTAGGGGCTTTCGCACCGGGTAGTTCTAGGAACTAGCCACCAGGGTGGTTCCCCCGAGAACTAATGGCTCCCATAGGAACATTTTCCTGGTTGCATTCGCACCACCAGTAGGAACACTGAAGTGACGTAAGCCACACTTGTTGTGATTTTTATTTTGACGGCGCTGAGAACGCCAGAGCCTGAGCACACACTGCTCGTGTTGTCCGTGTTCATTAGTTTACGATCTGTCTAATACGTTGTTATATAGAACTGTTAAACATAGAAAGTAGACAGTAATGAAAAGGTATTAGCGTATGCTGTGTGGTTGATGTCCAGTGTCGCTAGCGGAGCAGAAATACATAATCATGTTTGGCTTGGTCCCCTCAAAGTTGCGTTGGATTTTTTCCTCAGCATAAAGGTTAAGAGGCCCATCTATCACTGTTTTCCATGTTCGCAGAGTTAGTTTGTGGACTAAATATATAGGCTGTAACCTTTGTGTTTACACAGCTTTTATAAAAAATGGCGGGTTCGGCCAATCAGCGTTCACTAACGTCAGTGGTAGTTCCTATAGTGCTGGTTTAGACCCCACTCTGAAGTAGGAGATAAATTAGAACTCCTCCAAAAGGAGTTCCTAGAACTAAAATCGTTCCCAGTTCCTGCGGTGCGAACACGCCAAAATAAGGGTACTTCTTAGGAACTATAAAAAGGTTCCTCCAGTGCGAAAGCCCCTATTGTCGATAGTATAGCGATGTATGAAGCACCGCTCACACAGAAGTCACTTTCAAACCATGCAGCTTTCTGTTGGTCAACTTGTCAAAATCACCAAAAATGACCAACCCTCACCTTCAAATTCCCAACCCCCTGGGTTCCCATAAAATCCGGCTGCGAGAATTCGACGAACAATGGTAAATGTGATTGTACCTTTACTCTTAACATTCAGACCTGAAGCTGATGTCAGTTCAATGTTAAATTTGGAAGCATTGGTGAAACATGAACACTGCCTGTTTCACAAAGGCACTGAAACCTCTCAAGTATCCATTGACTGAGATCAGATGGATGCGTTCGGCATGCGCCCGAAACATACGCACATGCACTGTCCGTACACGAGGGGGGACAGACATCAACAAACTGTGCTGATGACGAAAATTTGTGTCACATTGACTGTCCGTGAAGCTAAGTAGAATGCAGACAGGGGAAGTATACTTTGGGTTTGAGTATTAAACTTTGGCCAATAACTTGAAAAATCACCTGTTTTTAACCTAACAGCCAATAAAGCAGGAAATAAAATTTCATTGACTTTCACTAAAGTAGGGACCCAAGCCATATCTAGAGAATATCACAGAGACTTGACTTGGGCTAGTAGGCAACCACCTATCAATCACCTAGAACATGCTAGCCGTGCGCTCTTCTCAAGGGGGTAATCCACCAGCCGGAAACTGAAGTCTCCCCGGGGGCCGCCACTGGCTAACAAGCCTTCACCTGCTGTTAGCATCCCATTGACTCCCATTCATTTTTGCGTCACTTTGACAGCGAATAACTTTACATCTGAGGCGTTTAAAGACTCCATTTGTCCATTGTTTATTTCTAAAGAAACACGACAATGTATAAAAGGCTCCATTACCTTGTATCTTACGTTATGGCCCCGTAGAAGCCGTTTTTGTAAAAATAGGCTAACGATTGCGTCATAACACGCGACTCTCTGTCGCACAGTACAGAAATTACCGTATAGACAGAAGTAGAAGCTTGCGCGCAATCGGGGGGACGTGGAGGCATCAAGTCAAGGGAGAAGCCCATAGAGAGTTGTAAAGTTGATCCTGATGCTAGCTCATGGACATCTAATACTCAGGAACTCCGGCTCTGCAAGATTCGGAAGGGAATGATTCAGATTTCTCTTGGCACCGCTACTAGAAGACGAACAAGTTGCTCACGTCACATCTACGTCGTCAAGCTCAGTTTGAGCATGCGCAGTACGCTTGGCAATCAGAAAGTGAGTGCTTCTAATTGACTTCACTTTTCTCCGTTGAAGTCTATGGGGTCGCTGTGTCCATTTCTTTTACTGTCTATGGCTCTTCTTTCCATGTGTATTGTCTTGTGTGCGGGGCGTGGTGTTCGGATCCCGGCACTTAAGTCTAGTTTGGTTTCGGTTTTGTTTCGGGATTCGGACATTAATGCTCCGCGTGTGATTCTGTTGTGAGCGCACAGGATGAGTATTTAGTTGTTCTTGTGCGCTCTGTCTTGTTGTGTAAGCGTGCAGCTTCGAGTTCGCTCGGCCCGTATACGCTCTTCTTTCCACGTGTGTTGTGTTCTGTGTAGCACGTTTTCATCGGTTTTCATGTTTTGTCTTGTGCTGTGTTGTGTTGCTTTCTTGTCATGGTTTGTGTTAACACACGTGGCTTATGAGTTCGCATTAGCTGCGTGTTCATGTCTCATTTTGTTTGGGCACATGGCTTGTCATGTATGTTTCCTTGTGCCATGTGCTCTCTTGTCTATTGTCTAACCCCGCCCATCTTGTTACCTGATTATTGCCTGTTAATAGGAACAAATGATTTCTATCTGCATTTTTTTTTTTCTCATTCTGATATATTTTTGATTTATGTATAATGATATGTGGTATGTAGTGTGTGGTTGTGCAGTGTGCCTGTGCAAGCTACTGTAATGTGCCCTTCAAATTTCCCCCTGGGGACAAATAAAGTGCTTTGAATTGAATTGAAATGAATCATTGGTTTATTTGCCCCACCTGTCCTCTCATTACCTGCCTTGTTTGCTCCCTATTTATTCTCCTTGTGTTTGCAGTCCTGTGCTGGATTGTTGTTGAATGTAAGTCAAAGTCAAATCAAGTCAAGTGTTTTGGTTTCCCCCTCGGGTTAGTTTTTGTTTGTGCTTTGTTTTATTTTGCTTCATAAAAGCCTATTTCTCCTGCGATTGAGTCCTTGCTTCATCTCTTCAACCACAAACCCTGACAGTTTGAGCTTCAGCAGGAACCAATGAGATTCATTCCCGTGTTACGCAGCACGTTTGAGCTTCTGCAAGAACCAATGAGGTTTGTTTTCACGTCTCAAGCACATCAAGTCAAGGTTGAGCTTCTGTTTTATGTTCACTGATCAATGCTTATGTGAATAAAAGCCTAAATTAAATCTGTTCATCATTATAAAACAATCCAGTTTCCAGAAAATTTGGACTAAACCGCACAATTCATATGGACTAGTTTTACGATCTCTATGAACTTTTTGAAGAGTCAAAGTGGTAGTTGCGTAGCTGTCAATGGAGGGACATAAATCTCTCAGAAATATCTTCATTTTAGCTGTGAAGATGAACGAAAGTCTTACGGGTTTGGAACGACATAAATGTGAGTAAATTACAATTATTTTTTTTCATCTTTGGGTGAACTATCCCTTTAAATAAGTGCATCATCCAAATATTTGAAGTTCACTTCTTATAGTTGGGATTTTCAGGGTGAACACAGTGCTTTCACTAAATACTATATAACATTGCATATTCAAATGTAGACGCACCTTATCAACAATTAACACTTATGTTCTTTGGAAAATGGAAAAGTATCTTTTTGTGCAATTCTGTTTATATTTCTGCTAGTAACAAACATGTCACACTTCACCTTAAAAAAGGAACGTGTTTGTGTGGGAAGGGTTGTGACATTGACGCACATTTCATTAGCAAACAAGTCATGTTCTTTAATACAAGACAAAAAGTCTATTCTTCACTCTCTACATGTTTATTACAGAAGGTAAATTCAAGTCCAGTTGCCATACCACATAAAGAGTGATTTTTATGGGTTTGAATCTGAGGTAAAAGATTCTCACAAGCACATGGCTTGTGCAAACACACTTTCTGGTCATTCACACTTGAGAACCTAGTTTCTATGAAGGTTCATCACAGCAGACCATAAGCTCAGTCTGCACATCTGAACATTTCTACTTATGTTTTCCATATGGGCATAATTTTAGCACTGAAACCAATATAATGCAACCTTAATTTAATTCAAAATTCAATCATTTAACTTTCTCTGCAAAGTGCATTCTAATGCATACTAATGTTACACTATTAAAAACCCAATTGAATCTGCCAAATATTAAATTTATCAGTGCTGGTGCCCTATAGTTGTTAATTAAAGTTAATAATTGATAATTCAGCAGTTCCTTTATTCATCTCACTCTTTATTCTGAACAAGAATATTCAAAAAGACCCACAGAGAGCAAAATTACATCAGCAATAAACTCCCTTCACATATTAAATTAGTAATTTCAGACAAACGCCTTACCTTTCCCATAGTTGAAGTGGAGTTTGATGGATTTGCCCTGGTTGATGTGCAGGTACGTAAACCACACGGCGAAAGTAAGCAGCACCAGCAGTAGCAGAAGTTTGAACTGCTTTCGTATTTTCTTCACAGGGAATCGCAGCATTTTCGCAGCAGCAGCATCATCAGCAGCAGCAGCAAAAAGAGAGTGTCAGCTGCTCCTCAGTCTGGCGCTTTAGAGACAGACTCCTGATGTCACAATGTCATATTGGCATCAGCTAATCCACAGTTTGCCACATCTCAATGTCTGACATCAAAATGTCATTTTTGCAGCAGCAGCAGAATAAAAGTCCGAGCTGCTTCTTAGTTTGCCACACCTAAATTCGTAATGTCATATTTCTCCAAAAAAAGCAGCAGAATCAGTCTTAGCCGCTACTTTAGTTTGAAGCATCAAAAAGAGAGGACTCCTGATGTCACAATGTCACATTTCTCCAAAAAAGCATCAGAATCAGTCTTAGCTGCTACTTTAGTTTGAAGCATCAAAAAGGGAGGACTCCTGATTTTACAATGTCACATCTCTGATCAATTCCACTGTCACAAAAGTCATATTTACAATTTGTGTCAGTTGCTTCTCTGTTTGGCACCTTAAAAAAAAAGATTCCTTATGTCACAATGTCATATTACAGCAGCAGAAAAATGTCAGCTGCTTCTCAGATTGGCGCGTTTTAAAGACAATGTTATTTCTCAAGCTCAACAAGTTTCCTTAATTATTGAAACTATAGTTAAAACAGTTTACTTCAGTCTTATAGAAGCATCATATATGATTTATAAGATGTTTGTGACTTCGGCTGCTCCGGAAATCTTCATTTAAGTCCCATTCGCGATAAACAAGTTTTAAAAATGGGAAAAGATGAAGAATAGTCCATAAAAGGATGTTATTGAAGGCGTACAGGCAAAAGAAAAGAGCAGCGGGCTGTTAATCTTGTGAAAGCCGCTCTGACAGCAGTCCAGCCACTCCGGAGAGGATCATCCTCTGGATTTAAAGCTTTCGCTTAAATGACCAGTCTAACTTTCTAACACTTTTTATTTAATTAACCATAAGCAACACAATCTAACTGCAGAACCCGCAGTTGTGAAGTTGCCCCTTCCTAGGATGCATTTTAGATTTGTTGGGATATCTCAAACAGTCATGATAACTATAAAACCATTCTTATAAACCTGTAACTTAGCCATAACAATTAACAAACGCCAAATTATGAGTGAAACCACCTCATATCGTAAAATATGTGCCTATTATGAATTGTGAAAAATGCCTACATCTTTGTTTCCATTCATTTAACTCGTAAGAATAATTTAATTTCTACACTTTTTCTTTAGGAGTAATTAGCTTCAAAGTGGTCAAAAAAAGTGACTTTAGCACCACTTTGAATTTACTTTCAAATGTAAGGCATGCAATTATAGAGATATCTATATAATTAAATATCTATATCTTATCTATATCTTTATAATTAAAGAGATATCTTTTTTACTAGTATTTACTAGTAATGTAAATAAACACAATGCATAAGACATGTAAGCTACAATAATCACGCGCCTGGTACCATATCGCACTGCGATGAAAAAAAAGAAAAAAAAAATGAAATAAATGCTGCTTTATAATCAGATATTATATTCCGGAGCTTAAAACACTAATATGCGAATGGAACAACAGTGATTGAAGAATCCCATTGCTCTGGCGGTTTATAGGTGATGCGTTCATGCACCTGCTATCCATCCAAGTCCACGCGCAACTTATTGACTCTTTCAACAAAAAAAAATGTTAATCAAACGCGTGCACCTAAACATTCCGTCCCCCGTTAACAGAAACCCCTATTCATAAAAACAATAACAATGGTCTATTGGCGTCCGTGCGCTCCAATACCGCTAGCAGCATCTGACATTTTGATTCCACTAGTGCGCTCCGCAAAACAAACGCTTTGTTTCACCGATGTGATGTGATGCGTCAGTCTCTGCACGCGGGTCCTATCCGCGTGGATGCTGTCACGCCTTTAGTCAGAGAAACTATTTAGCAATGAGTCTCATAAATCCCACGAGCTCCGCTTCCAGTCCTACGATGTGACCGACTCTCGATCCCCGCGTTCAACTGAGCATCCATGACTCTGCCGGGGAGCGACATTACGAATCCTACTATTGAACTGGATGAGCTAATGAATTATTCAACAGGCCATGATGACGTTACGTGGAGCATCTCGTCGTTGGGTTAATTAATATTCATAAGCCAAGGATTACCAGGCAGGCTTACTGGCCGAACGTTCCCTTTACGTAATTAATATTCATGAGCCCAATCGTCACCGTAGTATGATTCGGATGTTCGCTGCCGGGCAACCGAACTTGGGTGGAGCTGTAATGGGCAGCAACGCCGTCCAACCATCGGCGGACGTCCAGCGCAATGCATTATTATTGGAAGAGCTCGGTGACGAAATGCATGTATTAATCGTTTGCTGTGATGATCTCACCTTGTTTATTTGATGTTTCCATTATTTGACAGACGATATTAACGCTTAAGTCATTATGTTAATGAAACATTTATCTTTTTATTAATGAAAAAAATATATAATTTCTATTTCAATTATTGTTTTTTGTATGATTTATTTAGAAAAGTGTTTTTTATGTATTTTTAATTAGTCAAAATTAAATATTTTACTTTTTATCTTATTTATTTATTATGTGTTTGACTTATATTTAGAAAGGTGCATTATTATTATATTAATCATAGCTAAATGATAATTGAATAACATCTTAAATCAATATTTTACTTGTAGAATATATAGTTTAATTTAGTTTTTTTTTAGGTCATTACATTGTTTGGGGGGGGGTATTAAAAACTTGTAATGTAAAAAGACGTGTAATAATGGGAGTTATACGTAATTGGGAATATTTGCATTAAAATATCATATTTCAAAAAAATATTGATATTTATTTATATTTATAATTTCTTTCCCTATTCACTTGTTAAGTCTCCCAAAATGGCTGACATGCCATGATGTTAGTCCTGGTGTCCACTACAGTGGACTACAATGTATATGACATCATCAATGCCCTGTTACGTAACAGAAAGTCATATTCTGATTTGAAACATTTTCCTGAGATGTTGATTTCTTACAAACAATTTGAAAATGAGTCAGATGTAAATGATAATTAATTACAAAATATTATAATATTTCCATAAGAGTGCTAAACCAGATAGAGGGAGTTGTCAAGGTGAAACTCCAAACATCAAAGCCATGAATGTCTCTATAAACTGTGACATGTATGTTGTCAGAGAAATTCGCTAAAATATAATGTCCTCTACAGAGGCAAAATGCCTATTCCTGGGTCTCAGGAGGTTATCATTTTTAAATAAATTAATAATAACCACTATTTTGATTAATAAACAGAATAAAAATAAATGTAAGGGTTCTGTCACTTCGGTGTGGTCTATTCTTGGTTTTGTAACAGAGCTCTGACACACATGTTCAGTTACCATCGCCCCTCTGGATTATATATACGCTATAGATCTCCTTGAATTAGCCCAGGGGTTTGGTGGAGATGGCTTTAATGAACCTTTTCCTTGTCGGGAAAGGTTTTCCGACGTTTTCTGATGTTTCAGTGTGGATGAGAAACTTTTGGAAAACGCCTGAAAACGCTTAATTCGCCTTTTACGGCGCATGCGTAACACCTCACAAAAGCTCACTGAGATGATACAGACGGGAAAATAAAGTTATCGCGCAATTCTTCTGGCAGGATCATTTTATTTAGCAAAATATCTCAGCATTCACTGATGCGTCCAAGTCACACTCTCTCACCATTATATGTTTGGTCAAAAACACGACAGCTCTCATGGTTTTCCACAGGACAGCAAATGCGAGTAAATCTCCTGTCATCTTTGCAGGACTGTGATATGAAGAGTTTATAAAGTAACATATTTTAGCAACGGTGTGAAAGTAAATCGCACATAACAGGCACAATAGCGGTATAAACATGAATATCCAACGCTATCTCACGACCAATTCGTACAAATTTGTACGAGTGATAAAAGATGGCTAATTCGTAAGAATTCGTACGACCTCACTCGTACGAATTTGTACGATTTGTCTAAACCCACATGATGGGTAGGTTTAGGGGCGGGGTCATGGGTAGCTCATTCGTACTGTAGGATTACAAATTTATTTAAATGTTTAATTATTTTATATTGAGCATAAATGATGAGATCAGGAAATCTCTGCAAACGGTAGGGGTTCCCAGCGGGATATTCCTGACTGTCCTGATCTCTGTCACCATTTGTCTTGGAGTTCTTGTCTCAGTACGAGAAGTCCTGCCCCATCCTGTTCTCGTGTCTCATGCTGAGCAGGTTCCAAAACCCGTATACCTCATTTACATGCTTTGTTTCAGAGTGTCTCCACCTCTATGTAATCCCTCCCCCTTGAAAGGTATATCAACTACAATGTATACTGCCTTAGTTAGACTTGGCTAAGATCTTTGGACGAAGCAGACTTGACGAACGAGGACTACAGCTATCAACAGCTCGTGTTTCTTAATAAAGAACTCTGCTTAAAAGATACAACCAAGTCTCCTGGTCTTCGCTTCTGAGTTCCTACACTTTAGAAGAAATAAGTTCACAACAGTACGAATTCATACGAATTGGCAAACTCGTAAAATATGTATGATTTAGCAAAAATCGTACTAATTCGTACAAGTGAGGTCGTACGAATTGTTACGAATTAGCCACCTCGTAAAATTCGTATGAATTGCCGTGAGATCGGGTTGGAATATCTATTGGTACAATATGCGTCACATGACTAAACTTACGTCATCGTTTTCAAATACCTCAGTTTTCACAGTCCACACTACAACACGATTTTCAAATTTATCCAGTTTGGAGAGCGTTTTCATTAATAAAAATCGCCGTCTCAGTGTGGATGGAAGGAAACCGGAGAGAAAAAGATGCGTTTTCAAACAAAAACATATTAGTGTGGACAAGGCCTCAGTTGCATTCAATAATACATGTCACTCATAAAAGTCTGGAAAAGCTTCCCTTGAGATGGATTCGCCACATTATGATTTTACGAGGTAATTTAAAGTCTGGCATTTCTAAACTCCTAATTCGCATTTGAAGTATTCTGCATATTTCCTGGCTTTGATCATTTACAGCATAAGCACAAGACTCATCAAATCTTTTAATAATCGTGCCCCGTTTCTAATATGCATGAAGCTAGAAGCCAGTGCAGAGCTTAAATGGTGAAATATTAGTGTGTTTTTTTCCGGCAGTGATCTCTTCCTTATGCAAGGA